ATATTATTCCACGTAAGAGTGTGACGCCATGTTAAATGCTCTGCTGTGACAACTATGGAGTAGACTATAAGATCATGTGGCACTACTCTGATAGTAGTAATCCACAATTACTACTGGTTGGTGGTTAGGCAGTAGTCTCCTAATAGTTGAGAAAGTCATCCACTGGCCATCCTTTCCTGCTCTGTTTAACTCCCAAGAAAATGAAAAAGAGTTCATCTGGATTTTTTTTAAAAAATGGTTAGTCATTATGCCTTTGGTACCTTTTATTAAAATTGGAGTTACCATGCACAGTTGCAAAGGCTCCCTCAGAGCTAAGCGTGCACAAGGTTCCATATTTCTTCTTGTTGTTGCAGTTGTTGTTGTGTGTCTTCAAGTCGTTTCAGACGTATGGTGATACTGTTATGGGATTTTCTTGGCAATATTTGTTCAGAGGAGGTTTGTCATTGTCATCCTCGGGGGCTGAGAGAATGTGACTACGCCAAGGTCACCCAGTAGGTTTCCATGGCTAAGCCGGGATTCGAACCCTGGTCTCCAGAGTGATAAACCGACGCTCAAACCACTACCACATTGGCCCATAGCTCTTCTTAGGGCCTTTGCAGACTGCCAGAAATAGTGCACATTAAATTGAGGCACTGCCCTGGCTCAGTGCTAGGGAATCATGGGAATTGTAATTTATGGTGGCATTAGAGCTCTCTGACAGAGAAGGCTCAATGTCTCAGAAAAAAATACAGTTCCCATGACTCCCTAGCACTGAGTCAGGGCAGTGCCTCAGTTTAATGTGCACTATTTCTGGCAGTCTGCAAAGGCCTTTACTCAGACGTAAAACAACAACACGGCCAGGCTTACTTCCGAGGAAGACACCCAGCAGGATCTCCTTTCCCTCCATGAAGGATCTCCTTTCCCTCCTCGAAAGAAAACCTGCGCAAGCCCACGAAAGTCCGGGAGTGGGATCGCACCAGTTACGGTGCTCTTCACTCAGAGTGCTACACGACAAGGATATAGCCCTGTGTCCTTTTTACAAATACATAGGGCAGTCCTCTGTTTGTAGGCATGACTTCTTTGTTGTGGTGTCCTCTATATGAAGGAGCCTGGGTGGTGCAGTGGTTTGAGTGTTGTTGGACTATGCCTCTGGAGACCAGGGTTCGAATCCCCCACTCAGCCATGGGAACCCACCTTGGACAACAAGTCACATTCACTAGCCCCAGAGGATGGTAAGAAGAAACTTGTCAAGAAAACCCCGTGATAAGGTCACCTTGTTGTTGTTGGGCGCCTTCAAGTCACGTCTGACTTAAACGCCGAACCTACCAGAGAATTTTCTTGGCAAGATTTATTCAGAGGAGGTTTGCCATCGCCTTCCCCTGAG